TGGGCACATACTCAGTAGGGAGTGTGCAGGAGGCAGCTGATTGATGTTTCTCTCTCATCGATGTTTCTAACCCTCTATCCCTCTCCCTTCCTCTCTGTAAAAAAATCAATAAAATATATATTTTTTTAAAAAAGGTAAAACATATATGAAGGGTTCAGTACTATTAGTGGTTTCAGACATCCACTGCAGGTTATTTCTGTATAAGGGGGGACCACTGTAACTGTTATTCAGGTCATCTTTAAATCAATTTTCTTTAACACCTTATCAAATAGGGCTTTTATTAAACCAAGCTAAATTTAAATTTCTAGTAAAAATACATTAGACCCTGCCTGGTGTGTCTAGTGGTTGTGCCTCAATCCATGAACCTAGAGGTCCTCAGTTCACTTCCATTGGCACATGCTTGGGGTTACGGGCTAAATCCATAGTGTGATGGTTTGCTGGAGGCGGCCAATTGATGTTTCTCTCCAATCAATATTTCTCTCTCTCTCTCTCCCTCTCCTTTCCTCTCTCTATAAAATCAATAAAATCATATTTTTAAAAAATAGATTAGAGAAGAAGACTGCAGAATTGCAGAGAAAACACCAAAATGATATATGGGCTTACATTAGCGTGCATTAATGTGGGTGACAGGTGCTCTTGGTTAATTGATTTCATGACAGTTCTTACTAAGGGTTCTAATTTATGTATTTTAAGGCTGGTGGCTGCATGGGGCTTTGACAGTGCTCTGCATTGGCTGCGCACACAAGAGCTTAATGTGGTCTGAGTCAGTGACACTCAGTACAGAGAGTTTATTGTAAATGTGTTGAAATTTTATATTTTACAGAAGATTCCACAATACCTGACACTCAGCCTGGGTGCTCAATCTCAATTGTAGTATCTTGAACTGTATAAAGGGATCCCAGAAATCCACAGCCAGAATGTTATTACCAAGGTGAGCTTACTGTATTTCAAAGGTCATTTCCTGAATTCCCACTATCAGAAAAGCAATTAAAGTCCCAAAGCACTTAATCCACTCCTTTGTTAAGGACTTTGGTAACTCTGAAGAGAGGTGAGTGCATGAGGGTTTGAGAGCAGGAAGAGGGTGACTCTGCAGCGCTGTGGTTAAGCTGCTGGCACAGAGGTACACGGCCGAGTCCCCCTGCTCTACACGCTGGATCTTCAGAGTGGAGTAGGAGCCATCAGACCTCTTAGCATAGAACCGCTCTTTAGGCATCCCTGATTTGTCTACGGGCTCCTTGTTCTGAAAGTAAATCAAAAACTCCGGGCCCTGCCCCAGCCTCTGTTGATACCAGTAAAGACCAACATGTCCAGAAATTGGATCACACCGGAGAGACACATTCTGTCCCCTCTCTGTGACTATAATCCTGGGGGACTGGGACACTCCAGTATTGGTGTGACCTGTGAAGACATAATTTGAAAATAGAATTAAGAAAAAACAATTGTAATCCTCTCTCTCTCTCTCTCTCTCTTTCTCTCTCTCTCTCTCTCTCCCTCTCCCCCCTCCCCCAACCAACCCCTCACACACACCATAGACATCTAGTTAAACTGCTTGGATTTCTGAGGACTCACCTGTCCCTAGGAGACAGAAGGTCACCCAGCAGAGGAGCCTGGTGCCCATGGCAAAGTCAGGACAGGAATGGGAGGTCACCAGGTCAGGGTCCTTGTGAGCATGAGCAGAGGAGGAGAGGCCTCCCATGTCTGCACAGGCAGTTCCCATAGTGACATCACAGCCTCGATCAATCCCCTCAACCTCAGAGACATGGGATCTATATTATAGCATTCTTGGCTGACTAATTTAAATATTTATAAGCTCCTTTTTCAACAAAATCCATGCATGGCTGTCACTCTGGACTCCCATGCTGTCTGGATTGCAGAGATCTCACTGAATCTCTAAGTTTATCTTCTCATTTGCCAGTCACTCCTGTCCCCTGGGCATTTTCACTAAGACACGACAACAGCATCTTCAGTACCAAAAGGTGAATTCATTGTCTTATCTGTAAGTCAGGATCTCCAGTGAGCATCACTGTGTATGTCACCATTCCCTACATTCTCCCAGTCACACATGCTGAACCTTATCTATTTCTTAGGCAAGGGTGGGCACAGGGTGTGGACTTGGCTTTGCCCTGTAATGCACTGGCATTCAGAGATATAAGATATTAAATAATGTGGTAGAAAATTGTCTGAGTTGGATGCTCCTATTCTTTCTGCAGGTCATGACCAAGTGCCCTCTCTATCTTCATTACCCTCCATGTTGTTTTATGTCTTCCCAGCTCATGGCAAAGCCTCATGTCCTTCTAGGTCACCATGCAGTAAACAGTAGGTATCCTATAGCTTTTTTATGGAAGAGGACTCCACTTCATTAACCTATAAGACACTAGTGTATAATATATAAGGGGGTCCACATGGATCTGAGTTACTGATTACTTTCCATCCTGGAGGCATCAGACTCAGATTGATGGTGAGAAAAGCTAGATCTGGGGAAACAACTTCCCAGCTAATGGTATTGCTTCAGAAGACAGGTAAACAGACAGTAACAGTGGGTAGTGTGTGCCCAAGGCCCTGGGACTGGTCCAGGCCTAACAGAAAGTACCCTGCAGGAGGACCACAGCACACAGGTGTAGGAGTCTGTATAGGGCTCTGCTGAGACCTGGGGAGGGGCTGCCCCCTGCCTTTTTGTGCAGAGAGGATGTGGCTCTGCTATGCTGTGGATTCACTGCTGGCACAGAAGTACACAGATGTCTGGGAGAGGGTGGCTGAGTCTAGTGTGAGGGATTTTAGTTTTATTCATTTCAAACGGGCTGGATCGGCCCTCGGGCCGTAGTTTGCCCAGGGCTGCTCTAGGGTTTACAATTCACATCTCTGCTTTAACAGTCTACCTTCAAGTGATATTATACCACTGGACATAGATTAGGAAAACCTCACAATGGTAAGGTATCTATTTATCTACTCTCTGTCCTGCTATTGTTTTTACATACAGTAGTCCCGCCTTATATGCAGTTTCACTTTCCACAGTTTCAGTTACCAGCAGTCAAGTGCTGTTCAGAATTATTAATGGTCAATCCCAGAAAGAAACAATTCCCAAGTTTTTACTTGAGCACCATGCTGAATAGCCTGATGGAATCTTGTGTTGTCTCATACTGTCCCACACAGGATACGATCCATCCCTTTGTGCAGCATATCCATGCTGTGTACACAACACGGTATTAGCCACTTTGTAGCTGTCTTTGTTATCAGACCGACCGTACCAGCATCACGTAGCTTGTGTTCTAGACACCCTTATTGTGCTTAATAGTGACCCCAAAGCACATGAGTATTGATGCTGGCCATTTAGATTTGCCAAAGAGATGCCATAAAGTGCTTCCTTTAATTAAAAAGGTGTGTTTGTGTAGGAAAAAACAGTCTGTATAGAATTTGGATACTATTTGTGGTTTCAGGCATCCACTTGAAAAGTATCCCCCCAAAATAAAAGGGGTTTACTGTAACTGTTATCAGGTCTTCTTTGAATCACTTTTCTTTAACACATTCTCAAGTAGGGTTTTTATTACATCAAGCTAAAGTTAAATTTTTATTAAAAATAGAGTGGAGAAGAAGACTGCAGGATTGCAGAGAAAAATACTAAAACAATATATAGGCATACATTAATGTGCATTATTGTGGGTGACAGGTGCTCCTGGATAATTGATTTCAATGACAGTTCTTACTGACTGTATAAAGGGATCCCAGAAATCCACAGCCAGAATGTTATTACCAAGGTGAGCTTACTGTATTTCAAAGGTCATTTCCTGAATTCCCACTATCAGAAAAGCAATTAAAGTCCCAAAGCACTTAATCCACTCCTTTGTTAAGGACTTTGGTAACTCTGAAGAGAGGTGAGTGCATGAGGGTTTGAGAGCAGGAAGAGGGTGACTCTGCAGCGCTGTGGTTAAGCTGCTGGCACAGAGGTACACGGCCGAGTCCCCCTGCTCTACACGCTGGATCTTCAGAGTGGAGTAGGAGCCATCAGACCTCTTAGCATAGAACCGCTCTTTAGGCATCCCTGATTTGTCTACGGGCTCCTTGTTCTGAAAGTAAATCAAAAACTCCGGGCCCTGCCCCAGCCTCTGTTGATACCAGTAAAGACCAACATGTCCAGAAATTGGATCACACCGGAGAGACACATTCTGTCCCCTCTCTGTGACTATAATCCTGGGGGACTGGGACACTCCAGTATTGGTGTGACCTGTGAAGACATAATTTGAAAATAGAATTAAGAAAAAACAATTGTAATCCTCTCTCTCTCTCTCTCTCTCTTTCTCTCTCTCTCTCTCTCTCCCTCTCCCCCCCCCCCCAACCACCCCCTCACACACACCATAGACATCTAGTTAAACTGCTTGGATTTCTGAGGACTCACCTGTCCCTAGGAGACAGAAGGTCACCCAGCAGAGGAGCCTGGTGCCCATGGCAAAGTCAGGACAGGAATGGGAGGTTCACCAGGTCAGGGTCCTTGTGAGCATGAGCAGAGGAGGAGAGGCCTCCCATGTCTGCACAGGCAGTTCCCATAGTGACATCACAGCCTCGATCAATCCCCTCAACCTCAGAGACATGGGATCTATATTATAGCATTCTTGGCTGACTAATTTAAATATTTATAAGCTCCTTTTTCAACAAAATCCATGCATGGCTGTCACTCTGGACTCCCATGCTGTCTGGATTGCAGAGATCTCACTGAATCTCTAAGTTTATCTTCTCATTTGCCAGTCACTCCTGTCCCCTGGGCATTTTCACTAAGACACGACAACAGCATCTTCAGTACCAAAAGGTGAATTCATTGTCTTATCTGTAAGTCAGGATCTCCAGTGAGCATCACTGTGTATGTCACCATTCCCTACATTCTCCCAGTCACACATGCTGAACCTTATCTATTTCTTAGGCAAGGGTGGGCACAGGGTGTGGACTTGGCTTTGCCCTGTAATGCACTGGCATTCAGAGATATAAGATATTAAATAATGTGGTAGAAAATTGTCTGAGTTGGATGCTCCTATTCTTTCTGCAGGTCATGACCAAGTGCCCTCTCTATCTTCATTACCCTCCATGTTGTTTTATGTCTTCCCAGCTCATGGCAAAGCCTCATGTCCTTCTAGGTCACCATGCAGTAAACAGTAGGTATCCTATAGCTTTTTTATGGAAGAGGACTCCACTTCATTAACCTATAAGACACTAGTGTATAATATATAAGGGGGTCCACATGGATCTGAGTTACTGATTACTTTCCATCCTGGAGGCATCAGACTCAGATTGATGGTGAGAAAAGCTAGATCTGGGGAAACAACTTCCCAGCTAATGGTATTGCTTCAGAAGACAGGTAAACAGACAGTAACAGTGGGTAGTGTGTGCCCAAGGCCCTGGGACTGGTCCAGGCCTAACAGAAAGTACCCTGCAGGAGGACCACAGCACACAGGTGTAGGAGTCTGTATAGGGCTCTGCTGAGACCTGGGGAGGGGCTGCCCCCTGCCTTTTTGTGCAGAGAGGATGTGGCTCTGCTATGCTGTGGATTCACTGCTGGCACAGAAGTACACAGATGTCTGGGAGAGGGTGGCTGAGTCTAGTGTGAGGGAAAAGTTCTCTGTATTTGATCTAGAGACACTGTACCCATCAGCAACATCTCCTTTGTCAGTGATCCCAGCACCGACTGAGTAATGGATCAGCCTCAGCCCATGCCCCAGGTCTTGTCGATACCAGTACATATTGTTGTGGTTATCTGTCTGGTGACAACTGAGAGTCACCTTCTTTTCTCTCCCTGTGACCTTGTATGTTGGGCTCTGGGTGATTCGGGCATCCAGGTGTCCTGTAAAGAGAGAGTCACAGACCTGATACTGTCATCCTAAGATGAAGATTAGGGCTGAGATCTTGGGAAGCCGGGGCAGGAAGCCTACCATACTCACCTGCACAGAGGAGACAAAGAGCCACCCAGAAGAAGAGCCTGCTGACCATTTCAGGTCCAGGGCAGAATCTCATGTCTTCCTGTTCTGTCTCAAGGAAATAGACTCAGTGATGTCTGAGCTGTAGAGCTAACCTGCCACACCCCTTCCCCACAAGAACAAATCAATGATCCTCTCAGTTACAGGAACCACATGACATCCAGGAAGTTTTCAAAGCCTCAAGTCAGAGTCATTGGAATCTGAAGACTTGTTTTACGTTGTCTCACAATTCACCGACTGATGGGAGACCTGCCTTCCTGCTCAGGTCCTTGCGTGCTCATGGGTCAGAGTTCTCCCTTGGTTTCATCTGAGGCCACAGAAGACTGGGCCACCTAAGTCCCCATGACTGTGCCTTTTGTGAAAAAAAAGAGGAGGCTTGCTAGCCAGGTGGATGAGATATTCAACAGAGGTACAGGTTTGCAGAATCACAGGGAAATGTTCTGTCTCCATTCAGAGGTCTTGCACCCCTACAGAATGGGAGAATATTTGATTGAATCATAAGTGTGCTCCGTGCCAAGCTAGTAACTAGTCAATACCAGTTCGGTTCTAATTTATGTATTTTAAGGCTGGTGGCTGCATGTGGCCTTGATAATTCTTTGCATGGGCTGTCCACACAAGAGCTTAATGTGGTCTGAGTAAGAGACACTCAGTACAGGTAGTTTATTGTAAATGTGTTGAAATTTTATATTTTACAGGAGAAGATTTTACCATACTTGATTGAGCCTAAGTACGGGTGCTCAATCTCAATTGTAGAATCTTGAACTATAAAGGAATCCCAGAAATCCACAGACAGAATATTATTACCAAGCAGATCTGTTCTTGCGTTTCAAAGGTCATTTCCTGACCTCCCAGTATCAGAAAGACAGTGAAAGTGCCAACGGCACTTATTCCCCTTGATGAGGGAAGAAGAGGGCCACTCCTTTGTTCTGGGAACTATGAGGAGTGGTGAGCACATGAGGGTTTGAGAGCAGGAAGAGCGTGACTCTGCATCGCTGTGGTTAAGCTGCTGGCACAGAGGTACACGGCCGAGTCCCCCTGCTCTACACGCTGGATCTTCGAGTGGAGTAAGGAGCCATCAGACCTCTTAGCATAGAACCGCTCTTTAGGCATCCCTGATTTGTCTACGGGCTCCTTGTTCTGAAAGTAAATCAAAAACTCCGGGCCCTGCCCCAGCCTCTGTTGATACCAGTAAAGACCAACATGTCCAGAAATTGGATCACACCGGAGAGACACATTCTGTCCCCTCTCTGTGACTATAATCCTGGGGGACTGGGACACTCCAGTATTGGTGTGACCTGTGAAGACATAATTTGAAAATAGAATTAAGAAAAAACAATTGTAATCCTCTCTCTCTCTCTCTCTCTCTTTCTCTCTCTCTCTCTCTCTCCCTCTCCCCCCCCCCCCAACCACCCCCTCACACACACCATAGACATCTAGTTAAACTGCTTGGATTTCTGAGGACTCACCTGTCCCTAGGAGACAGAAGGTCACCCAGCAGAGGAGCCTGGTGCCCATGGCAAAGTCAGGACAGGAATGGGAGGTTCACCAGGTCAGGGTCCTTGTGAGCATGAGCAGAGGAGGAGAGGCCTCCCATGTCTGCACAGGCAGTTCCCATAGTGACATCACAGCCTCGATCAATCCCCTCAACCTCAGAGACATGGGATCTATATTATAGCATTCTTGGCTGACTAATTTAAATATTTATAAGCTCCTTTTTCAACAAAATCCATGCATGGCTGTCACTCTGGACTCCCATGCTGTCTGGATTGCAGAGATCTCACTGAATCTCTAAGTTTATCTTCTCATTTGCCAGTCACTCCTGTCCCCTGGGCATTTTCACTAAGACACGACAACAGCATCTTCAGTACCAAAAGGTGAATTCATTGTCTTATCTGTAAGTCAGGATCTCCAGTGAGCATCACTGTGTATGTCACCATTCCCTACATTCTCCCAGTCACACATGCTGAACCTTATCTATTTCTTAGGCAAGGGTGGGCACAGGGTGTGGACTTGGCTTTGCCCTGTAATGCACTGGCATTCAGAGATATAAGATATTAAATAATGTGGTAGAAAATTGTCTGAGTTGGATGCTCCTATTCTTTCTGCAGGTCATGACCAAGTGCCCTCTCTATCTTCATTACCCTCCATGTTGTTTTATGTCTTCCCAGCTCATGGCAAAGCCTCATGTCCTTCTAGGTCACCATGCAGTAAACAGTAGGTATCCTATAGCTTTTTTATGGAAGAGGACTCCACTTCATTAACCTATAAGACACTAGTGTATAATATATAAGGGGGTCCACATGGATCTGAGTTACTGATTACTTTCCATCCTGGAGGCATCAGACTCAGATTGATGGTGAGAAAAGCTAGATCTGGGGAAACAACTTCCCAGCTAATGGTATTGCTTCAGAAGACAGGTAAACAGACAGTAACAGTGGGTAGTGTGTGCCCAAGGCCCTGGGACTGGTCCAGGCCTAACAGAAAGTACCCTGCAGGAGGACCACAGCACACAGGTGTAGGAGTCTGTATAGGGCTCTGCTGAGACCTGGGGAGGGGCTGCCCTCTGCCTTTTTGTGCAGAGAGGATGTGGCTCTGCTATGCTGTGGATTCACTGCTGGCACAGAAGTACACAGATGTCTGGGAGAGGGTGGCTGAGTCTAGTGTGAGGGAAAAGTTCTCTGTATTTGATCTAGAGACACTGTACCCATCAGCAACATCTCCTTTGTCAGTGATCCCAGCACCAACTGAGTAATGGATCAGCCTCAGCCCATGCCCCAGGTCTTGTCGATACCAGTACATATTGTTGTGGTTATCTGTCTGGTGACAACTGAGAGTCACCTTCTTTTCTCTCCCTGTGACCTTGTATGTTGGGCTCTGGGTGATTCGGGCATCCAGGTGTCCTGTAAAGAGAGAGTCACAGACCTGATACTGTCATCCTAAGATGAAGATTAGGGCTGAGATCTTGGGAAGCCGGGGCAGGAAGCCTACCATACTCACCTGCACAGAGGAGACAAAGAGCCACCCAGAAGAAGAGCCTGCTGACCATTTCAGGTCCAGGGCAGAATCTCATGTCTTCCTGTTCTGTTTTGAGAAAAATAGACTCAGTGATAAATAATAGACTCAGTGATGTCTGAGCTGTAGAGCTAACCTGCCACACCCCTTCCCCACAAGAACAAATCAATGATCCTCTCAGCAGGAAGAACCACATGACATCCAGGAAGTTTTCAAAGCCTCAAGTCAGAGTCATTGGAATCTGAAGACTTGTTTTACATTGTCTCACAATTCACCGACTGATGGGAGACCTGCCTTCCTGCTCAGGTCCTTGCGTGCTCATGGGTCAGAGTTCTCCCTTGGTTTCATCTGAGGCCACAGAAGACTGGGCCACCTAAGTCCCCATGACTGTGCCTTTTGTGAAAAAAAAGAGGAGGCTTGCTAGCCAGGTGGATGAGATATTCAACAGAGGTACAGGTTTGCAGAATCACAGGGAAATGTTCTGTCTCCATTCAGAGGTCTTGCACCCCTACAGAATGGGAGAATATTTGATTGAATCATAAGTGTGCTCCGTGCCAAGCTAGTAACTAGTCAATACCAGTTCGAGCTGCTATTTCTTATACAGGTTATATCTCAGTGTGAGGTCACCTATTTCTGTGAATACATATTTTGATGTCATCTTGCTGATCAAATATAATCACACAACGGTGAGAAAGGACACAGAGTCATAAATCAGAGGCGAGGAGGAGGTTGATGGTCATCACATATAAAGGCTTGCAGCGTGGGGCCTGGCTAACCCAGGAAAGGCCGTTACATCTTATTCAGGATTTACCTGGTCCCAGGAAACCAAGAGCCAGAAAGCAAAGGAGCCCACTCCCTGAGGCAGGATCAATGCAAAATAAAGAGGAGTTTTTCAGCTAGGACTCACATTGTTTGGGTTAGCTTACATGGAATCCCAGAGACCTGAGGACTGTTCTCACAAGAAGGTATGACCAAACCATACTGTTAGTATTCTCAATAATACCATAATTTCTTTACAGATATAAGCATTCATTAGTAATAGTTCCTTTGTAAAATATTTTTAATCAATTAGAGCCACAGATTTGATATTGCAGAAAACATGCACCTCATCTCAAAGCTGTTTTTTGTGTTTTTGTGTTTTTTTTTTGCACTGGTGTCTCCCATGCACCCGGAGTAGTGCCTATTCATGTTAAATAGTGAAGGGAGGTTTGCTATGTGGACAATGAAGAATAATGCCAGGCCTTCTCATGTACACAGGACCTTTAGAAGACGTCTACAAAAAATGTTATTCTCTTTTTCAGAAAGCAACCTAAATCAGCCCTGGCTGGTTTGCCTTAGTGGATAAAGCGTCAGCACGTGGACTGCAGGGTCCTGGGTTAGATTCTGGTCAAGGGCATGTACCTCAGTTGCAGGCTGGATCCCCGGCTCAGGTTGGGGCATGTGCAAAATGCAACCAATCAATGTGTCTCTCTCACATTGATATTTCTCTCGGTCCCCCCACCCTCCCTTCCACTCTTTCTAAAAATCAATGCAAAAATTTCCTCAGGTGAGGATTAACCAAAAAGAAGCCCTCTAAATTTTCATAGCTTTCAACCCACAAATCCCAAACTACTCTGTACCTGTATTTAATTAGTGTTTGTTGAATGAATGATGAAAGGAATGAATGGTTATATGAGTCCAGACAGACTCCACTTCTGTAAAGATAACCCAGTCTAGTCAGTTATACATAGGTTCAGAGCTTGAAGGGAGCAACGACTCATGTGAGTCTGTTGAGAATTCAAAATTAATCAAAATAAATGGGGAAAAGATTCATTCCTATAAGTTATTATAAGACTTTTGCTTTTATTAGGCTTTTAAAATTAATAGATGGCGGAATGGATGAAATAAAAATGATTGTCACTTCCTTCCATACTGTCACCATTTAGGCTGGCCCCTGGAGGGACAGTCTGAGATGAGGACTTAGGTGCAAGTAGTTTATTTTGAAAATAATCTCAGGAAGCAAGAGAAAGAGAGCAGGGAGAAAGAAATAGTGAAGGAGAAATCTAGGATAAGGTGCAATATTGCAGTTATGCAGGCACATTGGGAGATGGATTTATGGATTTTGTTGGAATCTGCAGAGAAGCACACAGACCACCTCTTGGGCTGTCCTCCTGGATACAGAGGCTGAGCTTTCATCCCTGGCTCCTTTCCTTCCAGGAGCATTAGCACTTCTGCAGCTCTGACTGCCCTGGGGTACAGGCCACGTGGGCTTCCATTATAGAGAGGAGGCCAGAGCAGAAAGCAGGGGGGCTCCCAGCCTGCAAGTGAGGGGGTAAATGCTGTCAGAACCAGGTAAATGCACATAAACTTGCATGTAATTGTTCACTGCAGCTGAGGCTGATACCAGAGGTGGGATGGGATGGATGGCACTAGAAGCTCCACTATGATGGTCTCTCTTCACACAAAACTGTCCCTTCCATCAGCTCTTCTATGTGAGGCTGATACCAGAGGTGGGCCAGGAATGGATGGACGGTACTAGAGGCTCCACTATGATAGTCTCTCTTCACACAAAACTCTCCCTTCCATCAGCTCTTCCGTGTAATCACCAATCACTCTGAAGCCACAACTTTCTGGTAGCACCACACCTTTTTGTACATCAGACTTAACATCAAACAGGAAGTGCTTTCCTGGGTCCCATATTTATTTTCCCTTAAGAGTCACCTGTCTGTAGTTAATTTCACCCAATAAATGATCAGACAACAGTATTAGCATTTCAGAGGAGTTTCTGTTTGAACCATAAATGAGTCAGGCAAAAGTAACCCAAGGCTGCCTTTGATCCCAGAGCTGCACATCTATATATATAAAAGCCTAATAAGTGACCATCCGACCATCAACTGTCTGACCGGTAGCTATGACATGCAATGACCACCAGGGGGCAGGCACTCAATGCAGGAGCTGCTGAGCTATAGTGACTTGGCAGCTGTGGTTCTCAGGTGACGCCCCCAGAACCAGAGAGGAGGGAGCCCAATTCCAGGGTGCATCACCCAAGAATTGCCCTCTCGCAACCCAGGACCCTTCGAAGGGATGTTAGAGATCGTTTCAGCCCAATCCCCACAGGCCAGGCCTCAGGACCCCACCTGTGCACAAGTCCATGCACCGGGTGTCTAGTAGTAAATAATTGTCCTAGACTAGAGATTTACCACAGTTTATAGAGAACAAAGATTAATTGAGCCTATATTTTTTATTAAATAATTTGTTTTATTTGCTTGTGCGAATCTCTGCACAACATACATTATTGACCCCAGGCTACACATGCAAATATTCAAACAAATATTTTCTTTTTAAATATATTTTATTGATTTTTTTACAGAGAGGAAGGGAGAGGGATAGAGAGTTAGAAACATCCATGAGAAAGAAATCCTAGACTAGAGATTTATCACAGTTTATAGAGAACAAAGATTAATTGAGCCTATATTTTTTATTAAACAGTTTGTTTTATTTGTTTGTGCAAATCTCTGCATGACACACATTATTGGCCCCAGGTTACAAATGCAAATATTCAGAGAGGAGGGAGCCCAATTCCAGGGTGCATCACCCAAGAATTGCCCTCTCGCAACCCAGGACCCTTCGAAGGGATGTTAGAGATCGTTTCAGCCCAATCCCCACAGGCCAGGCCTCAGGACCCCACCTGTGCACAAGTCCATGCACCGGGTGTCTAGTAGTAAATAATTGTCCTAGACTAGAGATTTATCACAGTTTATAGAGTCTGTTGAGAATTCAAAATTAATCAAAATAAATGGGAAAAAGATTCATTCCTATAAGTTATTATAAGACTTTTAAAATTAATAGATGGCAGAATGGATGAAATAAAAATGATGGTCACTTCCTTCCATATTGTTACCATTTAGGCTGGCCCCTGGAGGCACAGTCTGAGATGAGGACTTAGGTGCAAGTAGTTTATTTTGAAAATAATCTCAGGAAGCAAGAGAAAGAGGGCAGGGAGAAAGAAATAGTGAAGGAGAAATCTAGGATAAGGTGCAATATTGCAGTTATGCAGGCACATCCGGAGATGGATTTATGGATTTTGTTGGAATCTGCAGAGAAGCACACAGACCACCTCCTGAGCTGTCCTCCTGGATACAGAGGCTGAGCTTTCATCCCTGGCTCCTTTCCTTCCAGGAGCATTAGCACTTCTGCAGCTCTGGCTGCCCTGCTGTGCAGGCCATGTGGGCTCCCATGATAGAGAGGAGGCCAGAGCAGAAAGCAGAGGGACACCCAGCCTGCAGGTGAGGGGGTCCTGTCAGAACCAGGTAAATGCACACAA